GGAATATTTCTTCTTTCTCTACAGGCCTCAGTAATGAGACAAAATGCTGCTCTGGGCCCATCAAAAAAGCTTAAAAAGAAGACCTGAAAGCATCAAACTTTTTCCAAGTAACTTAACTGCATCCCAGAGCAAAGCTCAAAAAAATATATGTGTAATATACATTTCAAATATATATAAATATAAAATAATAAAAAATTAAATAAATAGTACATATTTTATATGTATATAAAATAGCAAAAATTACCTGGCATATAAAGTAGGAAAATACCATTCATAATGAGAAGAAAAGCCAATTGTAGACACCATCTCAGAAATTACTTAGATGATAAAAATTCATAGAAAATCACATTGAAACCATTATTAAAACATATTGTATATGTCCAGGAAGCTAGAGGAAAGATTGAGAATAAGTACTGAACACGATATACCCAAACTGAACTTCTAAAAATGAAATTACAATGTCTGAAAAGGAAAATGTACTGGATGAGATTAACATCAGATTAAATATCACAGAAAAGATTAGTGAACTTAAAGGCACGACAGTAGAAATTGTCCAAAATGAAACACAGAAAGAAAAAAAGACTGACAAGAAATGAACAGAACATCAGTTAGCTGTGGGACAAATTCAAGTGGGCTGATATAAGTGTGACAGACTTATCAAAGGAGAAGAGAGTAAGGGGCAGAAAATGTATTTGAAGAAATAATGGCTGAAAAAGTTCCAAATCTGATAAAAATTATAAACTTACAGACCAAAGAGTTTTAATGAATTTTGAGGACAAGAGCCATGAAGAAAACCACACTGAAGCATATCATAGCACATCATAATTAAACTGCTTACACCAGTGACAAAGAAAAAACTCTTAAAAGCAGGCTGAGATAAAAGACACAAAGTATACAAAGAGATGAAGATAGAGAGGGCAGTAGACTTCTTATCAGAAACAATACAAGCCAGAAAACTTTGTACTAGAAAAAAGAAGCTGTCAACTTAGAAATCTAAATTCAGCAAAAATAGCATTCAAAAACAGAAGCGAAATAAAAACTTCTTTAGACGTAAGAAAGCTGAAAGAATTCATCATCAGCAGACCTGAGCGTCAAGATCTGCTACGGGAAGTCCTTCAGGCAAAAAAGAAACACCAACACATGGAAATCTGAATGCATACAAGGGCCTGAGGAGTCCTAGGTATGATACCTATGTAGGCAAACATAAAATTCTTATTGTTTAAATCCATTCAAAAGAGAATTTTCTGGAAAATGTGGTGAATACATACAGTGGAATATTTTTCAGCCTTAAAAAGGAAGGAAATTCTGACACAGGCTACAACATGGATGAACCTTGAGGCCATGATACTAAATGAAATACGCCCATCACAAAAGGACAAACACTGAATGATTCCACTTACATGAGGCCCCTAGAGTAGTAAACTTTATAGTGACAGAAAGTAGAACAGTGGTTGCCAGGGTTTGGGGGAAGGGAGAATGGGGAGTTTGTGTTTAATGGGTGATGTTTTAGTTTTGCAAGATGAAAAGAGTTCTGTGAATGGATGGTAGTGACAGTTGCACATTATGAAGCTTTGTAACACCACTGCACTCTACTCTTTAAGATGGTTGAGTTGGTAAATTTTATGTTATGTGTTTTACCACAATTTTTAAAAGGGAGAAAATTGACTGCTTGAAAGCAAAAACAATAGCAACGTATGTGGAGTGTATAACAAGTGTAGAAGCAAGACACCCACAGCACAGTTGGGGGAGGATAGAGGTAAACTGTTGCAGGGTTCTTATACTCTACAGGAAATACATTTCACTTGAAGGTGGGCTGTGATAAGTTAAAGACCTACACTATAAACCCTAAAACAACCATGAAAATAACCTCACAGGAAGTTAATCCTAATAAAAAACAAAGGGGATAAAACAGAATCATAAAAGATGTTTCTGACCACTGAAAAGGGCTAGAAGCAGTGACATCCCAGTACCAGCAAGCACAGGCGTACACATATATAAAAAATTATCAACATGTATACTTTAAATATGTGAAGCTATATCAGTCACACTTCAATAAAGCTGTCTAAAATAAAAGCCGAATCAGCTTTCTGGACAGGTAAAAGTCTCCTGTTTAGTCATAATGCCTTTCCACACACACCCTCTCCTTTCCTTCTGGAACATAATAATGTTGCACTCCCTGGTCTCTTAGAAACTAGGTGTGGCCGTGTCACTTGCTTTGGCCCATAAAATGTAAATGGAAGTGATTTTATTAATTCCCAATGGGACCTTCATGAGCTAAAGCACAATCAGTGCTATTTCCTTCTCCTGACCAAGGGATGGTGGGAGCATGTGTTTAGATGAGACTTCGATCTGCCTGGGTCTACACATGCCCACATGGAACTGAGTCTCTCTGCCAGCATGAGTGGGGCAGGTAGTCTGAGTGAGAGATGAACTTTGCTGTTAGTCATAAGTGTGTTGGGAGGTCTTTGTTACTGTAGCTAATTTAGCCCATGCTGACTGAATACTCCCTAACAACAAAGGTGTCCAATCACAAAGGCAGTGTTGTTTGGCACTAGAAGGTAAACTGGTCCAGAGACCTCTGAGGTCTCTTCCAACTTGAAGACATGAGTTATATGTCACAGGCATCACCAGCCTAGGTATTTAACTGAGATCATCTTTTCCAGCCTCCACCTGCCTATGCAGAACTTGGCTCCTTCTCAAAGTAACACTCAGGTATTTCTGAGTCCTCAAGCGCTCAGACACAAGTTGGCTTATGTTCTTCAACTCCAGTTACCAAAGAATGTCACCATGCTGCAGAGGCTGTGACCAGGGCCCTCAGCCAAGCCTAGCTCTGACAGGATACCATGTCCCTTTGCTCCCAATGCCAGGGCTCCCTGGAATGTCAGAGTCATGCTGGATTCTCATTCGTAGGCCTTTTTAGGGCTTACCTCCAGAGGACCAGGCCCCTATTCTAGGTCTGACCTTGTGCTTAGGAATCCAGAAGTCCCTTTCAGTCATTGTCCATCTGTCCCCACTGGTCCCTGCAGAGAAATCACTATCCCCACCCATCTGGTCTTCTGCCAGTCCTGGGAAACAGGAATCCTCATGAAACTGGCAGCCCCCTGAGGCTCCATTAGTCATTAAATGTGAGGCATTGCCAAGGAGCAAGAAGGAAAGTACCAGCTACTTGCAGGACACACTGACCTGAGGAGGAGTAGGTGGGATCTGTTTTGGAAGAAATCCTTCTCTCTCCATCTCCCTTAGACCAATCTCTAACGTGCTTAGGCTTTTGGAAACCTGGTTTTTACTCTATCACAAACCTCCCCTGAAGGGAAAGGAGAAAATAACTGGAGAAAACACAAATTAATTTTGCAATATGTTTCCCTTCCACACAATCAACAGTACTTCAGAATCAAAGCAGTCTCCAAGAATATTTAGAAGAAATTTATTTTCTCTCAAAGATCCAAAGTTACTGGATGGAAAGAACCTTTCATATTCAAGGAGGTTTGGCTCCTTCAAACCTCAGCTCTTGAGTGTTTCATTTTTCAGTTGTGATGTTTGGCTTCATATTTGCAAACTAAATGATTTCTTTGGGTGGTTTTTCCAAACAGTCTTTCCCAAAGGCCTATCGAAGTCTTTGTTTTCCATAGAACAGAAAGCTGCTCTCAGCTTTGACACAGGAGCTTCCTTTTTATTTCTATCACCCTGTCCAGGTTTCAGAGATCTCGAGGTCCAGTTTCAGTCAATAACCCAGGTGATCACTGTAACTAGTAATTCCTTTCTTATCCACGGAAGTTTCTGGCAGGAAGAAAACTTAGCTCTGAAGAATGGGACCGCTGTCTTTCTTCTGAAATAGTTTTAATTAGAATAAGTCAGCTATACTCAGAAGCGTAAATCAAACCTAACATGCAGAAACCCACACAAGAAAGCAACAGAGTATTTGAGCCACTGAACAAGAAATGTATACAAAATAATTGTAGGAAATTACAGCTGTCACAATGTTGCAGCACGGGGCCTTCTCTGTGATTTAGAAGCAAGGATATCTATTTGCTACTAGGATTAGAGAGAAGAGTAAAATGTAGAGCCAAACAGTCATTGCGGAAGGGGGGAAAGGCCTCAGGGAAGGTCTGATGCCAATTTTGATGGAGGATAGAGCCAAACGGACTGGAAAAAATGTATTTACTGGCATTTTCCCCACAGTCCAAATCACTTGGGAGCTTAGCCAAGCTATATTTTTAGTATTCTACTATGCCTTTTGAACAAGGTTGGATCTCATGAGATACGATGTAGCCCTGAACATGCTCAGATGGAGCAAACTCCCAACCAAAATTCTCTTCCCAATAAATGCTTATTTCTACATTTCCAACAGAAAGGAATTCTGAATTCAGTTTTGCTCCTTAAAGCAAAATACTCAGCCAACGACTCCTAACCTTAGAAATGCATCCTGCCCATAAGCCACATTCCCCTAAAGCGGGATGCAGAGGGGCCAATGTCGACAGTCTTCCTGGTACTCTTCAGCCCGGTATACCTTAAGCTTCCGTCGGTTTACCCCAGACACAAGCTCAGCCCCACCGGGAGAGGGCCTGGCAGGTTCAGAGTAAAAGCTCAGTTCCCCAGCAGGTAAGCCTGCCTCCCCGCCCACACGGCTGGCCTCTAGCTGGACATGTGGGGCTACTGCCTTCTTGTTACACAGTAACCACGTTCCCGGGGCTGAGCATAACAGCTTGAAGGAAGTCTTTTCCTGGCTGAGAGCCCCAAATGACGACAAAGTCCTTACTGAGGCAGGCCAATTTAGCAAAAGGACCGTCTTCCTCCCCAAGGCAGGCACTTTCCGTCCTCTGCCCAAGAGGTGGACCTGACTGTCCCCCGCCCGCCGTCACCCTCCAGCCTGCAGACCGTCGTCTCCTCCCCGCCCCTGCAACCGGGCTAGGTCTGCCCCGCCCCTCCGTCCGCGCCAGCCTCGCCGGTCCCCTCCGCGGGCTGCGTGCGCACGCGCACCCACGGGCCGGGCGGGCCCGCGCTCCGCCCCTCCTGCTCCGCCTCCGCCTCCTGGTCCTCGGCCGGGCGGGAGAGGGGCGGAGGGCCGTGCGCCTGCGCGGAGCCGGCAGTCCGGCAGGGCGGCAGCAGCGGGGTGGCCGGCGGGTGCCCTGGGCACCGCGGCCCCTCCCTCCTCCGGTCCCCCGCCTCACGCAGTCCCCCACCGAGACGCGGCAGACGACCCCGGCCCTGCCCTCTTGCAGGCCTGGCCCGAGCTGCAGCCCGTGACCTGGCAAGAGGCGGTGCCGCTCCCAAGATGTCGCAGACGGCCATGTCCGAGACCTACGGTACGAGGCCGGCCAGGCGAAGCGGGCGGATGCGGGCCGGGGGCGCGGGGGCCTGGCCTGGGCCGCGGGGTCCCGGAGTGTAGGGGCCGCGGGCCAGGGAGGGCTGGGGGTGCGGGCCGGGCTGCGTGCAGCGTGTTTACGGGATGTGCTTTCCAAGTTTGCTCTGGCTTTTTCTCCGCACTTACGCCCGCAGGGTTTTTCTTTCTTAGTCTAATTTCGAGAGCTCTGGGTGTGGGAAGCCAGTTGGAGACTCGGTTTCATCTGCGATATTGTCCCCAGCGAGGGGTGTGAAGGACTTGGGGCGACGCCTGTGCTTCAGTGTGTTCCTCAAATATTCCAGGTTGACCTTTCCTGGTGTGGAATTCCTTTCTTCGCACTGGGATTACAGTGAGGAGTTATCGATAGGCTAATCATTTCTTCCTCCGGAGACCTTTGGCCTTATTTCTCTCTCGCTCCCTCTCTCTCAGGGATTTTTAGCCCCTTCTAGGTTCCCTTATGGCTGTTTATAAATGTGTCATTTTTAAGACCGTAGACACTTTGGAAGCGGAGCCCTTCCTGCCTCATCTTTGCTCCCTCTTTAGCACCCACACCTGGAGGTGCTCAACAAATATTTCTTTGAATAAACGAAAACCTTCCCAGTTCATATACTGTGTTTTTGGTTTTTGTTTTAGTCCTGCGTGGTGAAAATAAACACTATGGCATATCTCTGCTTTGTGTCAGGCTCGAGGAGATGTTTACCATCTCCGATCACTCAGATGCACACATTCTCAGATTAAGACTTTGGAGTTTTACAGTCTGAGGGAGAGACTCAAGTTCAAAAGTATATACCTCTGCTCAAATCAGTGTTGTCTCCGTTGGTCCTCATATGCTGCTCCTTTGCTTCAACAAATACGTGTGGAATGGCCTCACGGAGCTGGCCTGGTGTGAGCGGCACCGTCAGCACCACCAGGAACACCGCAGGCAGCGGCTCTGGTCTCCTGGAGTTTACAGTCTAGTGGGGATTCCCGTGTTAATCCAGGTGTAACACTAATGAATGGTTAAAGCCCAGGCAGGAGTTCTGCAGGAATGTGGTCTAAGAAAGAAGCCCCACCACACTGGGCGCCAGGGAGGCGCACGTGCCAGAACAGCACGTGCCCAGGCCCTGAGGGACAGGCAGTTCCTGTAAGGGGATGTGGTTTAGGCCCCACAGGCCTGGGGAGGGATGAGGGTGAGGCAGAGAGAACCTCTCTCCTGTGAGGGGTGGGGTCATAGTGCATTTGCCTCACCTTCAGCCACTCCTGTGACTGGTCCATGCCCTGTTCTTGGTGACACTGGGGGCAGAACATCTGTTCCTAGAAGGCTTAGGAAATCCTCCAGGAAGTCACCGGTTTCATAGGGACCAATGTTGTCAGAGCTGCAAATGCTGCAGTACATTGCATCCACATGGTCTGGTTCTCTCTATGGAGAACTACAGTCAGATTTCATAAAGAAAATGTTTCTTGAGCAATTTTTGGTTATGCTTTTCTGTCTTTTCAAGTGCTCCTTTCCCTGCACTTTTCTTCTTTAACCTGGATAAGGAGCACTTGGGAGGGGTGGGAAGTCCAAATAAGAAAATCAGGTGAGGGTTATGTATTAGTACGAAAGGACTGGAAGAGTTCAGGAGCTAGATCTTTTCCATTTCATCTGTATTCTATGAGGTGATAACTTGATAAAATATAGCATACCTTTGGCTTCCCCACTTCAGACAGAGTTACGTGAACGTGTTAGCATCACAGATGAACTGTTTAAATTCTGATCATAAGGCCTTGGCCATTAGTACTGTTATTTCGTGGTATCTTCCAAATGTTTTTCCTTTTTACTAACTGAATTTAATCTTTTCTTCTAATAGAGGAAATTAATAGAAAATTAGTTTTAGAAAGAGCAAGTGTGGCAGCTGAAAGTGCCAACCTAAAATAAAAATCACCCAAACCAAGTCCTAGGCTGTCACCTTAACTTATCATTGACCATATTTGCATAGCATTGTTCTCCCAAAGTAAAACAATCAGCTTCCCTCCTTCCAGACGTTTGCCTCTTAGACAGCTGGGAAAGGAGTGTTTGCCTAACCTTTAAACTCCTTTGTACTCTGTGCTCCTGTTCTCTTCTGGAAAAGGAGGCTCTGTGTAGCTTGACAGGGATATGATGAAAAATGAAGAGTACTTCCAAGGTACTGTTCTTTGGGTTTTTTTGAGGAAGATTAGCTCTGAGCTAACATCTCCCACCCATCTTCCCCTTTTTTTACTGAGGAAGACTGGCCCTAAGCTAACATCCATGACCATCTCCCTCTACTTTATATGTGGGACACCCACCACAGCATGGCGTAATAAGCTATGCTAGCTCCATGCCAGGGATCCGAACCAGCAAACCCCGGGCTGCTGAAGTGGAGCATGCAAACTTAACTGCTATGCTACTGGGCTGGCCCCTTCAGTGTGCTGTTAATGAGCTGTATCTACCTGCTTTTTAGCGCATTAAAGCAATATTTCACCTTCCATAGACTGAGTAGTGTTCAACATTTTGCTGCTTGGAAACCACTAACCACATGAATACTATACTTTATATAATGTTGTAATACAAAATTGAAATCTTAAACACATAGGTTTCAGATTGAAACCCTCAATCTGAATATCCCTAAAGTGAACCATGGTTTCTCAGATATTATTAGGTTCACAACCTTCTTAAAGCTCTGGCCAGTTAGTGTGGCTTGGGACTTCCAAGGAGCTCCAGCCATCGGAGACTTGGGAGATCACAAATAGGCCTTAAGTAATTTCTCATACCAAGATTTGTGAGACAAAACTGACAAATTAAATAGGTAGTACTAAGCAATGCTGTTCAAAAAGGAGCTAAAAAGTGTAAGTGGTGTGGAAAATGCTGAAACAAAAATTTTTTTAAAAGCTGAGGGAGTTTGAGCGTGAAGAAAAGTCTGAGACAAATCTCATCACATTGTAGTTTATGCCTTCTGCAGTGAAAACAGGTTATGAAACAAGAACACAAATTGTTGGTCCTATGCTAATTTTATTACAATATACCCTTCTTTTGTTTTTAAAGATTGGCACCTGAGCTAACATCTGTTGCCGGTGTTTTTTTCTTTTCTTTCTTCTTCTTCTTCTCCCCAGAGCCCCCCAGTACGTAGTTGTATATTGTAGTTGTGGTCCTTCTAGTTGTGCTGTGTGGGAAATCACCTCAGCATGGCCTGATGAGCGGTGCCATGTCTGCGCCCAGGATTAGAACCGGCGAAACCCTGGGCTGCCAAAGCGGAGCTTGCAAACTTAACCACTCGGCTGTGGGGCTGGCCCCACAATATACTCTTAATATTTTTATTGTGTGCTTGAATTTTGAGAATTATCAGGATATTTTCTTTTAAAAATGTATCACTGTAGGCTGTTGTGGGTTGAATTGTGTCCCCCAAAAGATATGCTCAGGTCCTAATCCCAGATACCTGTGAATATGACCTTACTTGGAAATAGGGTCTTTCTAATCGGGTCAAGATGAGGTCATATTGGATTAGGGTGGGCCATAATTCAGTGAGTAGTATCCTTAGAAGATGAGAGGAATTTGGACACAGACATGTGCTGGGAGATTGTGATGTGAAGACAGGCTGAGATTAGAGTGATGTATCTACAAACCAAGGATGGCTGGCAACCACTATAGGCTAGGAAGAGGCAAGGAAAGATCCTTGCCCAGAGCCTTCAGAGAGAGCATGGCCTTGCTCACACCTTGACTTCAGGCTTCTAGCCTCTGGAACAGTAAGACAGTAGATTTCTTTTTTAAGCCATCCAGTTTGTGGTATTTTGTTATAGCAGCTGTAGGAAACTGATACATAGGCATTGGTGTTCAAAATATGATTCATGGAGAAATTTAGGCTTGATAAGGCAAGGCAGAGTCAGGAAGATATTCTACGTAAAGGAAATAGCATCTTCAAAGTCACCTGGTGCCAGGAAAGTATAAAATAACTTGCTGTTGGGGAAATCACCTAAATTACCATTACTTTATTTCATAAAAGACAGGGGATGTAAACAGTGTCAACAAAGGAAGCATATAACACCAGAATAAAGGACATTTCTCTAAATTGAATAAATTTATCATTAAATGTTTGTATTTTTCTTTTTCTCCTTCGCTGAAAATTAGCGAACATTTCAAGGACCAAAGTTTGGGAACACTACACCAGTTCTTACATTAACGTGCCCCCCAGTTCCGTTGTTAAGATGCAGATTCTGATTCAGCGGATGTGGGGTGGATGGAGGTTCTAAACCTGACCAGCTTCCAGACCGTGCAGGTGTGGTTGGTCCAGGGACCATGATTGAGTATCAAGTCACTGTAAATACTCCATAATGCCTCCCTGCCATGGAACTTTGAAAACATTGTTCTTTGGAAAAACAAAAGTTTCTGGTAGTTTTTCACCATCATTTGAACTATAAATCAATCCAGTCCTTGCCCATGACTTGCCTTCCTCTGAAGACTCCTAAATCTCTACTTCCAGTCACGTCATTCACTGAAGCTAAAGATCTGATTTTCACCTCCTTCCCTACCTATCCTACTTGGATGGCCTAGGAGAAGCCTAACGCATGTCCTAAACCAACTAATTACCCATTCATACTCCCGAATCTTCTGTTTTCCCCATGTATCCATTTGCTTAAGAGACCCAAGTTAGAACCCGTTTTTAATTCTTCATGTTTATCTCCGAAGTTTGGTTGGTTTCTAAGTCTTTTAGATTGACTTCTTAATCTACTTCCAGCTACTCTTTACCCTAGAAGAGGCAGGGGAAGGTTAAGTGTGGGCTAGTTTAATAGATTATATGGCACGGAAACTCATCATCCCCAAGTTCTTCGTCACAGCAGCTTGAGCAGTTTGAGGCTCCTGTGTGTGAGAAGATGAGAGAATTCCTTGGGCAAGGATGAGGTGGTTTCTGGTAGGGGTAAGCTGGAAGGAGCCTTGGTAAAATTTATTTCAAGGCCCAGACTTCTGGTAACTTATACCACAGCTTCACA